ATTTTCAGATTTCCGTAAATACAATGATTTTTTAATGTTAAATTTCCTTTACTTTTTATTTTAAGTTATAATATTCTTGTAACTTTTTAATACTTACTCAATAAAATTGTTCATTAGATAACGCCCACAAACCTTAGTAAAAAATAGCATTTCAGCTTTGCTAATAGGATCTCCAGCCTTTAACTTGTTAGTCAATACCTGACCACAAATAGGAACATATTTTTGTGTCTGCTCAGAGAAAATATTATCTACTCGCAGGTTCTAAAGAAATTAATGAAATCAAAAAGATATGAAACATTAACTTTTATTGTGTTAAGAAATAGTACAACTAATACAAATGTTTTCTATAATACAACTTTGTCATAACTTAAAAAAATGCAAAATAACTAATAATAGAGATTATATTTAAAATAATTAATAGTTTATTATAATGTATATTATTTTTTTATAATGTCATCTTCCCATTTTTAAAAAGCATCCAACCAAGCATAAAAGCATCTATAAGAAAATGATTTTATAACTCGCTTATTATGGCTAGTATTCAAATTACACATATTTTTTAGTTCTTTTTAATCATCAAAACTAACCTTGAAACTTATAATTGAAGTAGCAGGACAGATATTGTTATTGAATAAAGCTGAATGAGCTCCAAAACTGCTCGATGAGCATTGTGGGGGAGTGAATTCACTGATGGTCAGAATGGTTAGTGATACAATAATTTGACAATAATACAATATTTTGAATCCAGGCCTGAAATAACCGCCTCTCTGCCATTCTAAATCCTAGTATAACAAGATCATCTTTTGTGGCTAATAAGAATGAACTTAAAGTAAATCCAGATTCTAAACAAAATATTATATGGAAAAAAATATATCATTTATATCTATTATGACAAATTTTCATAAAAAAAAATTAAAATACACCTGAAAATTCAGCATACCAACTAAACTTTGTTGTACTTCACTAGGAAGAATCAACAAATCCAGAACAGAAGCCAATGTGCTAATAAGACTCATTATTTAACCAAAAAAATAAACTAGAATCTAAATTATGATCTTGTCACATTAAACATAGATTTGTCTTGTGTTTTCCAAAAAATTACTAATAAAAATAGTCATTTTATCATAATTGAGTAAAATTTATAATTTTACTCAATTATGATAAAATGACTTAATTAAAGCGTACTTTTAATTAATTACTTAATTAAAAGTACGCTTCTCAAACAATTCTTCTTCAAATTTTGTCTGAATATCTTCCTTAGTTGCGTAACAAATTGTGCAAAAATAACTGGCGGAAAAAGGTTCAATAAACCCAAGTAAACTATTGAGAGTTAAATTATCACAAGTAACTTGACAAAGACTTGCATTAATTGTATGGTTTCCTAAAACTGGAAATACTCCATTTAATCCAATCGTGCTTAACTCATGCATTTCAGATACAAATTTTTCCGAAAAAAGTCCGAATCCATAAATTGCAATATCGTGAGTTTAGCCCATTGCTAACAAGTAAACATTACTAAAACATGAATTAAATACTGGTGAAAGATTTTTTATTGTGTAATAAAAAACACCAATGTTATGTACAGAACCTTGACTTCTAAGTGAATTTGTTACACCTAAGCCATCATAAAACAATTGGAGCATAATTGAAGTTTTAGAGACATCACTAAAGAGGTAATGCTTCCTAAAACGACTTCCATCAGAAAAGTCACTTAACACACTGGGTCTGCAATTATTACGCAGAAAAGCTTCAAACTTTTGTTTTGAAATAAAGTGAATACTGTTTTTTCACAGAAACATATTGAAATTGATTATACACAAAACCAGTACTCCCACAATGTGGTTCTAATTGTGTCATATAGTAAGTAACTTCATGTTGAACTATTAAAGGATGTCCTGCAAAATACAAAATAATACGATAACGTGCTGAAAGAAAATCAAGTGGATTTTTGCATAATTCAAATTTACATTCCATGCTCTGTGAAACTTGGTCAATAATTGCACAACCAATACCAGCTAATAGCGAAATGCTATTAAGCTCTTCTTTAAAATAACCTGACAATGATCTTGCCACATTTTTATGTAATTAGACAATTGTAGGAATAATACCATAAGAAATGCTGCTATTGGCACGAGGTTGTGTGACAAGTGATGCTCCTTCGGCTTTAAAATCCATTAAAAAATCTAAACAGCTCACAGATGACTTTGGATTCAGACTACAATTAAAACCATCTGTTAAGCGATTTGCGCAAGGTGTCTACTGACTGTAGAGTTACACAAAATTTCTACTTGGAATTCACCTGCAAATAAAACTACTTCACGATTGATCTCAGTGTTCTTTTGGTGGTAAGAAATCAAATGACGAAGAAAATTTAACAACACAGTAAAAAAACTTTTACAATTTTCTTGGCGACAATATATTAGTATACTCAATTGTCCGTTGTCTTTATGCCGATGCAAATGAAATCTTAACTGAGCTATAGCATTAAAACTTTTATAACAAAGATAACATGAATACATTCTGTAAAAAACCCAATAAATACCTTTCAAATAAGTCAGATAAATAAATGAACGACTATAGATAGTATATAAATAGAGATTCTAATATGTTGATAAGAGTAATATACTATTACTCTTATCAACAATGTAACGATTATTTTAATTACGCATGGCTCGAACTTTATTTTTTCCACAAAACTGTGCAAATACAGTGTTTAATAAGAATTCACAAAAATACAGAATTGAAAGTCCACATAATTGTGCAAATTACGGCCCCTACACTAAGTGTGGAAATTTAAGTCCACACTTTCCGCGAGTTTGTATCGGAATAAAAACTTTATATTTTGATCATTTAAAAATGCAAATAGTGTATCAATGGAATAATTACTACATATTTAATAGTTAGTAGGAAGTATGTTAAACGTATATATTAAACTTTGTAAATTTATTTTTAAAGATGTATAAAAATTTTTTTTTAATAATGGTAATAAATAAATGTAATTTTTAAACAAACAAAAAAAAAATTAGACTCATAAATTTTTTTCACGCACAATGCAAATTATAAATCGCAACCATCAAGTAAGTTTTGTTAATTGTTGGTTTAAACCTTTTGAGAACCTTATGGAAAACCTGTAAAATCATTAAATCCTTCGGCCCTGATAAAAACCAGATAGAACCCAATCAAGCAATTTTGCATCCATATGGGACCCGCCTGCAGACCAAAACACTTACACGTCAAAATCCCGTTCCCGAAAGCCTAGAAAATAAAGGGTATCTATCCGTGTAGCGAATAGATACCTCAAAAACAAAAAGGGTACCCATCTGTCAGTGTTGGCTCGTTAATAATTGATTTATTTTCCAAATTAAGTGCTTATAATTTTTAAATATTTTTTCATTCGAAATGGATTTTGTTTTTAGGTATTTAATGTACGATTTCTGATTTAATTTTGAAGATTATTTGAGTTTTTTAGTTATCAAAGAAGCTTTGGGACAAATTATTTTTCAACAAACTGGAAAGTTTGCATCATATACAGCGTAAAATGTTTCACAGATTTTATATTATAGATTTGATTTGAGTCATCATAAAAGTTTATATCATTCCAACTTAGTATGAACAGTTGTTCTTTTAATAATTTTATTTTCGTTAAAAATGCTTTTTCAATATATTTTATTCATACTTATATCATTTGTAAATGTTGTGAAGTAATTTCAAAATTAGGAATATAGAAATTAGAATTAAATAAAAGCACAATTAAAGAACAATTTATATTAATCAAATAATATTTAAAATGTTTTTAGTTTCTTCCAAAAAAAGTCAAAGTTTTGAAAAACATTTTTTTAAGCCTCTCTAGTAATGTTGAGGATTCTGATATTTTTACATTCATATTTATTTTCATTTGTTAAAAGGAATTCTTTTATTTTGCTCAGATAATACAATAATATAAGCGCTCTGCTTGCGTATTATTATAAAACTATATATCTGGATTGTCTTTTTAATATATAAATTGTTTACAATGAAATACAAAATAAGGTAGTTCATTTTGATAATTTTCTTGACAATCTTAAAGGTATTCTTTTAATCTCCGTTTAAAGGTGCGTAACAAGCTTATTATAAACAACTCAAGCGTACTTACTTCCTGCTTGTAGTTCGTTTGCTTTTAAGAAAATATTTTTTTTTTTTTTGATGATCACTTCACTGAAATCGTAATTTATATATACTCTTTCTTTCCACAGTTTAAATGGATTATATTGATTCAAAATTTTTCTCTATTTATACAACTTAAGAACTTTGCAACAATTGTTCTTTTCCTTGCTCTATCATTAAATTTTATTCCAGTTCTATTAGCCTTTTCAATTCATACTTCATTTGTTATATCAAGGTTTTTTTTGACTTTCCAGGTTTTGTTATTTTTTCCTATAAAATCGTTCAAAACGTAGATTGTTTCTACTAATCCTATCTTCTATTTCTTCATTTTTATTTTCAAACTTATTTTCTAATTTTTTGCTTACTTTTAAATTGTTTTGATTTTGTTTTTGTTTGTTAAACTCTTTCATATATTTATACTGTTTGTTTTGGAAAGTTATTACAATTTATGTAACTAGTATTTATTTTTTTATTATTTTTATTTTTTTTTTTAACTTATCAATTTTATCAAAAAAAAAAATTATTATGTTATTTTCATGAGCATTAGTGATTCTTTGGTTTCAATTATCAATAAAATTTCCCTTATTTTTTGAAAAAAGCATCTAAACTCGTCAAAAGCTCGTGCAAAAAAAATCTTTAAAATAACTTAAAGTAGAAATCTAATGCTAATGAGAAAGCTATTCTCACTACCATTAAATTTCTATTTGTTTTTATCCAAGAAAAAAAAAAAAAATTTTTTTCATAAAAATATGCTGTTAGTTATAAAATCACTTTGTTAAAAAAAAAAATTGATATTTAGTTAATCACTAAGTTATTTCAATTTTTTAATGATTTTTCACAAATATTTTACAGCACTTAACGGAAGAAATGATTCAGTTTCTTTTCAATCTGCAACCCGTTTGAAACGCTACATGCGTTTTGAAACCGATAGATTAAAAATACAATCACCAGTTCCGAGATCCATGTGTACAACTTATTCATCTTATCAAGATTGCGCTTCTTTTACCATTCTCAATAATTATTTTTATCCAGGCTACTTTTTGTTTAAACTAACAAAATATATTTTCAGTGGTGTGGAAAATTTGTCTTTAAGAAATGATAACAATACCTTTATAATTTTGCAACCACAAGATAGTCTTGATTTACACAGAAATGATGCAAGCTTTAGACTTGTGAAGATGGGAATTTGTAAGTACATTTACATTTTATAATGAGTAGAGTTGTATATATAAAAATAAAATGCTAATTTGTTCTACTAAGTCAAATTTTGCGTGTTAGCAGTTATTAAAAAGTAATTTAAAATTATTAGAAAATATGTCAAACAACAAACAAATAAATTGTATTTTGTTATATAAAAAGCTACTTTTATAAACTACTTATAACTTTACTGTTTATACAGTAAAGTAAATACATAACATTATAATTTACTAAATTAAACAATGATAAGCTTAAAATAACCTTAAATACAACATCACTTAAATATATAACTGTTATAATTTTAATATTTGTAATTGTATTTGTAACTTCTATTAAAATGCTAAAACAAAATAAACTTTCCTTAGGTAATTATACATCATGGGGTGAATGGGGTGCTTGTTCTGAAACATGTCATATGGATGATTGTGGAAATCCTGTAAAAACTCGTGAAAGATACTGTCAAGCAGGTTCATTAAGCGGAGTTGTTTATGATTTTTAAAGTTGTAACTTCCAAGTACCTTGTCCAGGTAGAAAAATTATTTTCAGTTAAATTTGACTAAAAACTTACCTTATGTTAACTTATTAGTTTGAAACAAAGATTTGTTATTTGTAATTTGTAAATTAATTACTACTAATTTTTTTATTATTTAGTCCGACCTTTTTAAGATTATTTAGTAATTTTTTTATTTTATTTTTAATATTAAAATAAATTTTTTCTATGTATACTTAAGTGTTAATATATATATTATATAAGTGTTAATATATTTAAAAATAAAAAACTAAATCTAAATAAAAATATAACATGAGTCATCTTAACATAAGTATATATAAACATGAATATATGTCAGTATACATATTTGAAATAAAATTTTAGGAATTGTGCATTTTAAGTACAAAAAACCGATTTTGTGTTACTATGCTATTTATAAGGAGGAAATTTTCGATTCGGAAATTTTCCAGAAAACTTTCAAAAAAATTAAAAATGTTGGTTATTTTCTAAAAAAGGTCTATTGTTTCATGATTTAAGTAAATTTTTGTGTCTTATTTAGGAAGTTGTAAACGAAAATTTTATCGTCAAATATTGAAAAACAGTTTTCAATACTTTACCATAAAATCTTTCAGAATAATTTTAATTTCAAATTTTAATTCAAATTTGAGTAAACCCTCTTTGAAAAACATTATTTTTTTTATTTTGTTGAGCTTTTTTTTTTTTTTTTTATAACTATAAGTAGCAAATATAATACTTTAAAATTTTCTAAAATTATCTGATTCATTATTTTTTTTAAATGATTAATTTATTAATTTGATTTCTAGACTTAAGTCTTACTTGTCGCAAACTTGATGAAGCCCTTTTGACTTTATATATCAATAAATTAAATAAGATTGTTTTAATTTAGAATGATTTAAATGTATACCGTATTTTTACACCAGTAGGGGAGACCGGAGCACGTTGGCCTGCTTTTTTTTCCTTGATATATCACTTTTTAGCTTTTTATTTTTTCATTTTTTTTTTTTTGGAAAAAGTTTTACTAGTCCCTAGACTATCCAGAAAAAACATTAATAAAAGTTCATAATAGGGTTTCAATACATTTAAAACTATTTTTGTTAGGTCATGTCGGGTGGGCCAACCTACCCCGTTATCGGGGTAGATTGGCCCATTGATTGGGGAAGGTTAACCAACACACAACTTATGGCAGACTTTGAAGTGTGAAAACGCTCATTAATCAAAAACAACTTTATAACTTGATAAAACAAAATTGAAACAACTTTAAAACAATAAACTACAAAAAATAAAGTAAAAAGAAAATATAACAATAACATTTTATTTAACAACAGTATAAACATTTGTAATCTAACCACTTTGCATCTTTTTCTACGCAACTCACATAGGCTCACCACTGACAGCTCAAACACTGTATCCATACAGCACCTAAAAGGCTGTTTGAAAACGGTTTAAAGCAACTATGACACAAGACATCTTCCTCATTAACATTTGTTTTTCTTGTTGCGTTTTTTTTACAGGTTGACTGGCAAAAATCTTGTTTGTTTTAAAGTTACTTAGACCGGCTTCTTTGATAAAAAATTGTTTTTTATTTTTTGACCCCATCTATTTTTTTTTTTTGCTGCTTTCTGTACCTGTAGCAAGGCTTTTTTAACTAGGCTTTTATAACTGGTGTATCCGTTAATGTAGCAGATATTTGTTTCCGATTTCTGAGCTTATTTATATTGTTTTTTCTAGGCTGAGCTTTTTCAAAAGGCCTTACTTCTTCAGGAGATGGTATATTTGAAGAGCTTGGAGTAAAACCTGATGTGCTGTCTAAATATGAAAAATTTCCATTGAAATAAAGTTTTTGAAACTTTTTGCTAGGTGTTTGTTTAGTGATGCTAAAATCCACAGATGACATTTTAGTGCTTGGGTCTGGTCTATCTGTTAAATTCGATGGCAAAAAATCAGTTTCTGAAAAAATATCTCTGTTAAATGGATAAATACCTGTTGCTTGGAAACTACAAGTTGTGAGATTTAAAATTAACTCTGGGGAAGATAAAATATGGGGGTATGCTATTTACTTTGGTGTTTGTTCTTCAAGCAAAACTTCCTGCTCAGGTTCAAATACCTAAAGAAATATAAAATATATATTACCATTAGATATAAACATTAAAATTAAAAAAAAATTATTTTTCTGTCCCAGTTTCTAAAAAAATTCAAAATTTTAAACATATCAAAGCAGTGTTTTATATTGAAGTATCATATTAAATGTTTCAATAAGTTACGGTACTAAATTGTATTCAAATTAGTTAAAGAAAATAGAAATACCTGAAATCTATTGGCATAGCCAAACTTGTGCCAGGGTTTTTCATCTAATTTAGGTGATAGTAACTTTCTCCCTATAGCTGTGTTATCAGACGTATGCACTGTTTCAGTAACATCAAACTCAAGTGTGTTATCATTGTTAGAATTTGAAAAAACCACTTGGCAATCAAGTTTTTTTTCAGTTTGAATTGAACCATTAGATGTAGGTGGCAACCCTTTGGATATGCAATACCTTCCTAGAGTCTTACGTGGTATATTAAATTCTCTAAAAACTGCTCTAATTGATCTTTTATATTTTGTAACTTGTATCACTGACAATAACATCGTTTCTTCTGACACTTTTACACGTTGTGATTTGCAAATATAATTTCGTACCATTTTTAAGTAGGTCTAAAAAAAAAATGCAAAAACCAAAAGTACATTACTTTTTTACAATGTTTTATATTTAGCTATATCTTTATTATATAGTTGCATACTTATAATATAAGTATGCAGCTATATAAATAGTTAAATAAAAAAGATATTGCCAAATACAAAACATACTTAAAAATCTTTTACTGCTGAGTTAGGTGAGCATGATGATATCATACTGAAATAGCCTGATGCGGGGGCTTCAGTACATACATCGACTGACAAATAGTCTGACTTGCAGTGGAGTGCTGCTACATCGACTGAGGGTTTGGTATGGGTTAGCAACCTTTTTATTCATTATTCTTTGTTTTCCCTCATCGTTTTCTCAAAACGCTTACTGAATTTAGCAAAAAAAAGTGAGCAAAACTAGCAAAAAAAAGTGAGCAATTGCGCATATAAATATGCTATAGTAGATAACTATATATATATATATATATATATATATATATATATATATATATATATATATATATATATATATATATATATATATATATATATATATATATATATATATATATATTTATATATATATATATATATATATATATATATATATATATATATATATATATATATATATATATATATATATATATACATATATATATATATATATATATATATATATATATATATATATATATATACATATATATATATATATATATATATATATATATATATATATATATATATATATATATATATATATATATATATATATATTTATATATATATATATATATATATATATATTATATATATATATATATATATATATATATATATATATATATATATATATATATATATATATATATATATATATATATATATATATATATATATATATATAAAACCTCGAAAAACAATAAAAACAAATTCAAATTTGTTTATGAGGATTATTTCTGATTTATTATGTTTTACAAGTTTTAATTAATATATAAAAAAAGAGTTTTTCCGTCACAAATTTACCGGAATTATTTTAAAAATCTACGGGGCATGTTGGCCACATGGCCAACGTGCCCCCGGTTGCATCGAGCCAATCTGCCCCATTGTCGTGTTTAGTGTATGAACAACTTTCTAAATATTTTACATCGTAGTTGAGAGAAGTAAAAGCTAGAAATATGTTATATTAGTGTATGAACAACTTTCTCCTTAAACCATCAATTAATTTTGTGGAACATTATATACTAAAATAATTCTTACACTATAAGCTTTAAATATAGCACTTGAATAATGCTGTAATGTCAAACGTCAGTGAGTATAAACACGTAAACAAGTTGTTCAAAATTTACTTTGATGTATCAAAAATTGATAAAACGGCCCCACACAATCAAATATGGTCCAATAAATATGATTTTTTTTCGGAAAAAGGATTGAATTACTTCTAACCTCCACTTAAATTCCCAGCTTGTTGAAACGTCTAGCCATGGAATAAACTTGAATGGGCCAACCTACCCCGTGGGCGTGTGCGTGAGCGTGTTTTATAAGTATCATACCAAGCAAATTATTTTATTATTATTTACTGAATAATAAAGTATTTTCTAATTTCATTTTTAGATAAATTATCATTACCTTTCACAACTAGTGGATTTATAATATGTTTCTTTTATGAAAATATATTGTTGACTTTTTTATAAAAGCAAATGATGAAAGATAATGAGGACAAAAAAAAGGCGTTTTTTAAAAAAGCAAGTAATGGAGGATAAGGAAAAAAAAAAATCTAAACTTTAAACACGTCTTGATCAGTAAGTGAAAGAAAAAGACCAGCTTCATGTTTTATTAATTTGTTTTGATTATATGCAAAACATCCAACTGCCTAGGATCCCGGTTCAAGAAATTTTTTACCTTAGTCAGTTGACTACTACAGTTTTTTGCATTTATTATATTTATAAAAAAGCATTCAGTAAACTACCTGTACCATGAAGGAACTGCTAAAAAAGGTCCAAATGAGGTGTGTTCAATGGTATATGACTCTGTATAGTGAGATTGAACAATGTTCCATCTCACTATACAGAGCTTCGTGTGATCTTAGAAATTTGTAAAGGACAAAATAAAAACTATTGTATTGGCCAAATTTCTTATAGCTTTGAAAGACATGAAAAGGTTTGAAAAAATTGAGCAATTGTTCCTTGCAAGAGGTCACTCTTTCTTACCTTGTGACCATGATTTCGGTATAATAAAAAGAGCTCAAAAAAATTATGACAGGATTTACAGCCTCCATAAACTAATCTGCATTGTTATTCAATCAATCAAAAAACACAAGTTCATTGTTAAAGAATGTGACACCAACGAAGTACTCGAGTTCAAAACTTGGTGGCTTAAGTTTTATAA